GAGAGAGAGAGAGAGAGAGAGAGAGAGAGAGAGAGAGAGAGAGAGAGAAAGAGAGAGATAGAGAAGAGCACCGTGGTACCACGGTATCGCGCAAATATATCTATCTACTCTGGCTGGGTCTCTCTCGCTGGCCGTGTGTATACGGACGTTTACGTATCGCGTTATTGGACAAAAGTTGCACCATCGGTTTTAGACGCGACGCGATCTGATATATCGCCGGGGACGGATTTTTCGTTACGAGAGGGAGAAACTACGAGACGGGTCATTTTTCTTAGACTGCAGCTGGATGTCGTAACACGAAAAGCGTTCTCTCCCCTTGCCGGCACCTTGCTCCGACTCTCTCTCTCTCTTTCTCTTTCTCTCTTTCTCTCTACCGTCTCCATTCTCCCTCGTTCTCCTTTTAAGACAACGAAATATATGAACTCTATACGCTTTACGAGGCAACGGATTGCGAATCGTTCTGATCGATGCCTCCCGGTGTGGCTAAGTATGACCAGCGGCATTTACACGGTGCACGGCGTCGATCTTTGTTGCCGCTCGCATTACAAATGTATTCCCGCGGAATACACGGAACGCTCCACAGCTCCGCAGCATTTGCTTCGACAAATCGGGAACGATAAGCAATTTTCAAGCGGACCTTCGTTTCCGTCCTTTTAACGAACGTGTTTCGGGAGCAACACGCCTGGACGCGCGCGCTGTGCACAAATGGAATCTGCAAACGCGCGGGACATTAAAACTTCATTTCGATGTCTGTATAGAATTATCGGTCACGAAAACTGTACGGGGCCGTGCCGAAGTTAATTATGAGCATATTACTGATGCGTTAACTCTCCGCACGCGACGACGAGCGGCCGCCGAGTGGCGCGCAGGGAAAATATAACTTGCGATGCATATTTATGCGCTTTTGCGTGTAGAATTATCTTTTCAGTTTCGAGTCACTCGCGCACACGCGAGTGTCAATTCGCGAGCGCGAACGCGCGACTGGCGCCGCACATACATACATATTTGTACACGTGTTATTTACGCGTCCGATCGATATCGTGTTAGCTATATTATGTAGTCAAGCTCTGCGCGTGATATGATATTAAATTTGCGTATAACCCATAAAACATTCATTTGCGAATTTTCATTGTTTCAGCCGGCACTCGTTATTATTTAAAGCGCAATTTATCAGCTTTACGCTCATTGTTAGGGAATATTGGGCGATATCAATAAAGCCCCGTCATATAATTTAATCTGGCGTTTATAGATTCCAAATACACATTTTAATTCATATACGACAGTCTGGAATGAATCTCACGCTGCGGCGACGTAAATCTGCACTGGTGTGGGAAGAAAGAAAGAGAGGGATATAAAAAGAGAAAGAGACAGAGATACTGTTACTTATTGTGCGTTCCATTTTCCTCTGTTCTTTTTAAAGTTGCGCGAATGGTTCCATGGATATACTATACTATTTATAGTACGATGTACTATATACGTTTGTAAAAATGTGTATCCTATCGGATTTCTTACCATCGTGAAAACCTGCATACCTTTTTTTTCGAATGCAGCGAAATGGTGGCGCGGATTGACAATTCTGAATTTAATAAAAAAATTTTGTAGTACGCTGAATGATTGAAATAAAATTAAAAAAAAAAAAACAGATAGTGTGTGTTGTGTGTGTTTCATGCCTCAATGCATATATCGAAAATTATTGTTCTAAGATTGATGTCATGAGTGACGCGATATTTACGACGTGATCAGTGGCTCATTAACAGCGCGATAATCGACGGAGGCAAGGCAAGACGCTTTCAACGATCTGGAGTGAAAGAACGCTAATTCAATCCTCGAATTGCTTTCTCAATAAAAGAAGTAAGAAGTATCGGAGTTGAACTTGACGATCAAGAAATAAAACATACATCGCGCTAGCGCGCAAGTAGAGTTCTTCCTCTCTTCCTCGAGTTAATTCGGGCACGATAATTAGAGAGCTAATTTGCTTATGAACACGGGTGCGTTTTCGTGTCCCATCCAACTGCTCGCTCTTCGCGACGCCGCTCGATGCCTAAGCCGATTAATTTTTACTATCCCAGCGAAATAATGGCGCCGTTGCGGCAAAGGGGTAATTCACTCGCCGGTTATGCTGGGTGATTACTTATCTAACTAAAAAGCAACGACACGCGGGACACCGACGTCGTTATTATATCGCGTCGCATTGTTCTTAAGCGCCCCGCAAATTGAGCGGCCCCGCGGAAACTTTTCGGACAAGCGCTAAACCGCGCGAGTGTTAATAGGTTTTTAATGAGTTTCGAAATAAGTTTCCGGATTTAATAGAATAAAAGTATGGCCATAGACTTATAGCTGGATTTAACGACGCGGTATTTTAATTAAACAGTTTGCACCATGTTTTCTTCCGACGAAGGAGGCGTTACAGCGACGGCGGGTATGAGCGCGCGAACGAAGGAACGGAGAATTTACAGCGTGTCGATTAACAGATTAACGGTGGACGTTTGTTCCTTCCGCAGCAACGAGGCTTCGGTTGCGCGCGAAACGAAGGCAATTATCGTCGCTTGGCAGGACGCTGCGCGAAATCGCACGAGTG